TTTAACACAAGCAATTAATGACGCACAAAGATATTCATTCTGATTATAATATTACAGAATAGTTAAAAATATACAGTTTACATAATCATTTTTCTAATTATTCTAATCTAAAAATAGATATATTAATGAATTTTTAGAATTTTTAATTAACATCAGAATTATCAACTTATATAGCATTAATTTTAACAAAAATTAAACAGAAAATCTAAAATCAATTATCAATTTGAAATTTTCAGTTAAATATCAATCACGTCTAACGGTCGATTTAATTTTGTTATAAAAAATTTCATCTCTAAGCTATCTATTAAAAATATTTTAAAGCAATATTAGCAGTTTTCAACCTATAGTAAAATTCTTTCTCAACACGTAGACAGAGCAACGTACCAAGAACATTTGCGCGTAGCAATCCTATCGTAATGCATCCCCCTTCCCCGATACGTGACGCTGTTCTCACAGCTTCCGTTTCCCTTTAGAGCTGCGCGAATCCCGGAGAAGGAATCGTGGCTCCGGCAATTAGCATCGTCGTGGAACAAACGAGCCATCCTATCGGGCTAATGCCTCGATATATCGATCCCCCGGCGCACGAATAATTATCGCCCTTCGCGGTAGCCAACCTTCGATGAACTCGAGGACAAGGATACAACCGTAGAGCGGCTACCTCGAACGCTACTTTAAAGGCGACGAACCAAAGGCGAAACCGTAGTCCACGCGAGGCACGTTGGGTGTGATATAGTTGGCGGTCCTGCGCGCACACGGTTGCGCGGTGCATCGGGACTCACTTCGATGCGATCGCGTCGAGTAACTCAGGGACTGGCGGCCGCTTCTTCTTTCTCCGTAGAGGACCGTGGAGGACTGAATTATGGGCCGTGGCCGTGGACACTCGGCAACACGCTTCGTCGTTTAACCCCTTGCCCGATCCCGAGCCCCGAAGCGCATTCTTATACCGTCCTCTCCATCCTCTCCTCGTCGACTGGCCGAGGATTCTTACGATTCTTGGTGAGAACGGCTGCATAGCAGTATATCTGCCGCCCCGGCGCACACTCTTCCTGAGACCTTCTGTCTTCGGTTGTATACGGGGACGTACCGAATCTTGTCTTTCGAAGTGTGGTGTGGAGAGCCGTAGTTGTTTCAGGGTCCGTGCAAATGTCGAGGTATTCGAAATTTATGCGAAAGTAGGATAAATTTTGTTAGGATGTTATTAGTAATAAAATGAAATCATAATATTTATAGATTCGTGAAAATAAAAAATATAACATATCTGTATGAAATAAAACGTTTCGGTTAACGGTAAATTCTTGTACAGTTCCCGTCGATTTTTAACGAAATTTTCTCGAATCGATTATAGAGAGGAACAATGAACAAATAAATAAATCCAATAAATCGCAAAACAGTGTGTCGATCGATCATCGTGGTCGCGATTAAAATATCAACCGGTGTAAGCCTGACTAGCTTACAATCCGTGCGCGCGCGCGAATTACTAAAAAATGAAACGTGGCAGGAAAGAAGGATAGCGCGATCCCAAATACGTATGTATATATATATATATTCGTCTACATCGAATTTAAACCAGCGCTGTGGATCGTGATCATCGCGTTGTTATTCCGCCAGGCAGGCAGTTGGAAGCGTCAAACGGAAAAGCGTAACCGGGACACGCATTAACGCCGCTCTCGATACGCCATAATACGCGGCGGGTCACGTTTTTCGTCCTCGACACAATGCACGCTCGTAGTGCTCGCTTTCTCTCTCTCTCTCTCTCTCTCTCTCTCTCTCTCTCTCTCTCTCTCTCTCTGCCTTTCGGCAATATGTTCGAAACGATGGATGGATGGATGGATGGATGGAGAGAACGAGCGAATAGGGACGGTTCCACACGCCGGGGGTTTGTTTAGGCTCCGCCGCGCGAAAGCCACTCAACCCGCTAATCTATTTAGCCGTGCTGTTTGATATGGAATTAATGAGGACCCCCTGGTATTATGTGCACGGGCCTGATTTTCGGTTTACCTTCCCGAGAATGGAAAGAGAGGGGGTCACATTCGTGGCCTCGACTTAACAGTTGCTCCTCTGCCTTTTCACACTGTTGTTGGAAAAGTCCTTTTGGGATGATCGTCATCTCTCTTTCTTTCTGGGTGTGGTTCGTTCGCGCAGCTGCTCTACCGTTGGCTGTCGCCGATTATCGGCATCGAACGTGCCACTGGAGGCGTTTATTGTTTCGTAAATCGGAAACAATCGCGTTGGCAGGTGTGTGTTTAACGGAAGTTCCCTGGAGACTGCGCGCTAGGGATATATTGGGTTAAGTGGATACGTTTGGTAGTGTGTTTCGTATATACGATGTAGCAAAATCGTGATATAGTATTTATTCGTTACGAATAATATACTTTGAATATTACCGTGGAAAAATCATTCTTGAACTTAACGATTGATATGTTTTAAATTTCTCGAAATGTTTGCTCTTTCTCGAACTTTTCGTTTTTCGCTAACCGTCGTTTCTTATAGAGTCGTAAAGATAAAGAAGCTCGAATTTCGTATTTATGGGTTGCGGTCGTAAAGTTATATTGAATAAATACTTTACAAAATGATTCTTCTACTTCTGTACAGAAGGAAAATATAAAATAATAATTTTTAAAATAATATAGACGAAATACGATAGAATAAATACATCGATTTATTTAATATAAATTTGTTTTCTCAATTATTGATATATTGAATATTATGAAAATTTTATTTAAATTTTTTTTCGATTTTTCGACGAGATACTTTTTAGACTTGCATTACAATTTTCGGTGCAACATTTTGTATACGTTTGTCGAGAGAAAGTTGTTCGATTAATATGGAAATGTTACATCGTTTATTATTGTGTTCAGATAACGTTGGATAAATTAAATGCATGTTTCTTAGAGAAGTTGGCCAAATTCAAGAACATTTGATATAATTTGTAATAATTTCTAGGTTACATAGAACACTGTCTTTCTAATCTTGCCGTGCAATCTGATTCGCGTATCAGCAAATCCAGCGGTCCGTTTCGAGAAACGTTTAAATTCAACCGGATCTGCAACGAGATATCTTTCGCAGTTTACCTCGTGAACTATTTCATAACGTGATTCGATCAATTTTCCCTTCGATCAACGACCATTAATTCCCTCTTAACGAGTTGCTGGCAGAGTGCAACTGAAAATGATCTCTCCAGCAAAATGGGAAGCTCGCGATCCGCTTCACTTCGCGTGCAATCCGTGCAATTGGAGAACGTGTAACACGGCTCGAGATCGAGTGACGATTAAAACGTCCGAGTCTCCCGACGTTGTCAGCGAATCTTCGATGGTGATACCAGTAGCATCCACGAAAAGCAAACTTCTCCTATGTTAATATACCTCCCCTATATGTGTACCCAGTCGCGTACGGTCATAAGAGCGAGACGTGATGTGTATGGGAGTGTCGAACGAGTGTCTACAAACGCGAAAACATGATCGATTACAAGTTTTCGAATTTCGTAGCCGGTCAATAGTATTTATAGTAATATCTTAATAATAAGACGTAAAATCAAACACGATCATATTCTGAAATTGGTTTGATCTAACGAATCTCTATATTTTTTCGCGTCAAACAATAATCGAATAATCTTTTTCTTTCATTTTCTCTATAAAGTGAACGAACCAAAAAGTAAGTACGATAATGTCGAAAAAATTTTTTAAACATTTTCGTTAATAGAATTTTTAGAATCTTCTTCGTTAATAGACTCGAAATGTTGACTTTACTTTTACTGATGTAGAGAATAACCGTTAAAGAAAGGCGAAACATTTGAAATTATTCGCTTCACTGTGCCCAAGAACGATTATTGCCGAACATACTCGATGACTCCCGAACTTATATCCGCGAGAACGCATAAATACTGTCATGGCGCGACGCGACAGACGACGATTCGTCGCACCTGGTACACGCGGTCGGTCATTCGTCGTTGTCGTTGTAACGACGAACGTAAATCTGACCACGAATGGGTCAAGAGATGGAGGTAAACGTTAACCTCCCACTATAAAAAATTACGGGAAAAAGAGGAGCAGTTAGCGTGTAACGCGAGAAAAGGTAAAGAGAGGGATCCACGGAGAGTGGGTGACCCACGTAACGTAAACGTGTATACTTCTCCTGTCCAGGGTTGTTTGCCGAGAGAAAGAGCGAGAGAGGGAAAAGAAAGGAGCGAGTCACCGGGAATTTTCAAGCAAACAGTGTCGATGTAACGCGTTGTTTAAGCTTCTCGTTTTCGAAAACGATTTTGTCGAAAGACGCGTACAACATCTTGTTTTCATTAAGATATGCAAGTTGTCCTCTTCCCCCTTTCGAAGCATGGCTCGATACCGATACAACGCAATGCAAATATCATTTGGCCAAGAATGTATCTCCTGTTTAGATTACGATATGTAAAGAACGAATGTTCGAGACACCGGGCATGTACGCCATCGATCACGTAACCGGCTGTTGTTTGGTAAATATAATAAGACGCTGTGTTTCTCTCGAAGCTAAGAAATATTTTTATCTAGAAACATATTTATTGTTTGATATTACAATGTGTATCGAGCAAACGCTGTGTATCCTAAAACTTTTCTTTATACATTATTTTTTAAACGGATATCACGCATGATCTATATTATATTAAATACGAATTTCGCAATATTTGCGATCTATTTATATGAAATCAATTCGATTATCAAATATAATTTCTTTAAACGCTTTCTTATAAACGCTTTTTATCATCGATGATAATTATCTCATTCGATAAATTAATATCATAAAAACATTTTCGCGATCATCGCGTATTTTAATCATTTATATTTTTATATGTTTTCTTTCTTCCTTAATCATTTATATTTTGATATGTTTTTTTCTTCCTTAATCTTTGCAAAACAGCAAAGATGGATCAGAATGATATTTTCTTTCGTTTTCAATAAGGAAACCACCGATATGTCGATGATATAAACATCTTCGATCATTAATCTCGAATATTCTCACTTTTCCAGTGTCCTGTGACAGTGAGTTCGTCGCTGACGTCTTCTTCGACCTCGCCGGTGTCCGGCGCGATCCTGAGCGCAGGCGGTTCGTCGTTGGTCAGCGTAGCGAGCACTGCCACGAATCATCCCTTGGGAGTAGCTGCCGGCCTGTCGAACGCGAGGATGGCGGTGACCAGCGCGGTTGTGAGGCCGCCTGGCAGTCCAACCACGTCGGTCAGCCCGTCGCAGGGTCATCCGCCTCCGACGACCGGCGGTCCAACGCCGACGGGGCGATGTTGCGACACCGGAAGACCGATCTTCACGGATCCCCTCACGGGCCAGACCGTGTGCTCCTGCCAATACGAGCTTATCGGCGGTTATCAACGGCTCGGCGCGCTACCGACGGCCGCGCTTTCCATGTATAGCGCGCCGTACGCGGCTGCAGCCGCCGCCGCCGCCTCCGAGGGCATGGCCGCCTATTTCCCGAGCCTTGGGGCCGAGCAAGCGCCCTTCTATACACCTACGGTGAGTTAACGATAAATATCGAAATGGAACGAAAGAATGAAAATTGTTGTATGATTATTTTCTAATAGCGAAAAAATTTGCCTCTCATCTTTCGAATCGGAAAAAGAATAGAAGAGAAAAAGTTTTCTGTAAATTCTTGAAATTTCAAATAATATGCTTAAATTTTTTTTTTAATATTAAATAAGAATGTATAGAAACAAGTTGTTTATGATTATTGTTTAAATTCAGAATTTAGCTTATAAAATATTATTGGAAGGTAATTTTTGTTCGCTATTAGAACTCGTGAAAAGGGATTTTTATTATTCGGATTTTATTTAATAAGCGAAATGTATTATTAAATTGGAATGGTTGATTTTTGAAAAAAATTACCATCGATTAAGGATTTTATTAAACATGGCCGTCAAATAAATTATTCTCTAAACTTCATCCATTTGATCTTAATAGCGTACTCGCTGGTGCGTATTTTCCCGATTTCGCCGTGCATTGTTTAATTATGCTATCATGGCTCGCGCGACTGTTCCCGCGTAATAAACGTCAATGCAATGCACGGCTCATGTCCGATGTTCATACAGGCGTTTCACCCTACCAAACCTTAAAAATTCATTTTATTGCATCCACGGTCGTTCGAAGATACTTTCGAGTTTATTACCATCGTCGTGATTAACTTCGTGAATCGGCCAAAATCTTCGCGAGTTTTTATCAAATATTTCACCTATTAATTTTCCTAACCTAATGATCGATGAAATGATAAATAAAGTCAATCAATCGAATGTAAAGTAACTATATATTGAATGTCACATCGTGGTCAGATAAGGGTTTGAAATTTCCAACTTTACTTGACATAGGTCGATGTCGCCATGATTTGATTTATGATATATTATATCGTAACTATAATAACGTTTGTACCAATATGCCGCTTATCTTTACTCGATACTTCAATCAATGAATTTCCAGCAAATGAAATTTTCATCTAAACGATAAGGAATTTATAAATTACCTAATTCTTAACGATAGTTTCAATGTTTTGTTCTAAATTATAGAAAAAATTTCGTAACTCACCACTATTTTTCATCAATTTGCTCCTACATCATATTTTCACGTTATTAGTTGGCCATCCTAACCTAACATTCTCTCTCGTGCGTTCAAACACAAATCACATTTCGAAAAGTTGAATCACAAATATTTTATATTGTATATCACAAATATATATATATATTGTAAATTCACATTAAATAGTTTCTGTACAAACATCCAGTCCCATTTATGCTCTATAGAAAAGCGAGAAAAAATACGTATTCAATGTTTGAATCTTTAGCCAGCAATCTACGATTTCTATCTGATCTCTACGTCTACTACCGAAACGCCTTCTTGCGTCTATTTCTCATCACTTTATTTCCTATATCGTTCGCAAAGCGTATATCGAATCGAATTTTTCTTCTCGACTGTTAGGATAAAGAAACATATATACCTTGTTTTAGTATATACGCTCGCGAGACGTTTTATAATAATCGAGATGTTATCGTGGCGAAATGTCCTGGACAGTATGATGTTAATATGCGAGCAAGAGAAAAGAGAAGCGCTGCGATTTGGGATAGGCAATCGCGTGTATTCGTCGGGCCCAGAGAGGTTATCGGACCACACACAAAGCGTATATATGCGAAGAAAATAGCCGCGAAGCGTAAATTTATGAATCCGTCCTGCCGTAACAGTGGGACACTGTCGTGTTCGAGCCGTCGCCGGGGCAAGCTTGTTATCGTCGCTCTTTATGATCGAGCTTAAAGGCCGGACGTATAGAGTGGGGCCTCTCGTAACCGGATTGCATATTGCATATACAGGTTGATCCACGTAACAGAATACCTTTGCAGCTAATATTAACAAGATTCTGGTACTCACTTGGTAATGTTTTTAATGATAATAATCTTTATATAAAATTTTTTCGATTTTCTGCTCTTCTTGATAAGTTTGAGGTTACAAGTCGAAAGAGGGTTATAGGTCTATGGGATTTTTTTTTGTTAATCTTTTTTATCAGTATAATAAATAGAAATAGATTGAAATTGGAATTTTAAATCCGCGAAACTCGAATTCGAAATTTTCTTCTTTCTTTTTTAAATATTATTTTCATCAAGTAATAAAATTAGTAATTATTATAACAATTTGATTGTTACAAAATTGCTAATTAAATTCAAATGTTAAATAATTTCGAAAATTTTAGATATTCATATAAAATGTTATAAAAAATTATAAAATTTGTTGTTGCGAGTCTTTCAATTATATTAAAATAATTCTATAAAATTAGAATAATATAAATTTCATAATAAAAGATGCAATAATTTCGGTTGAAATAAACGAGAGAATTTTCATTCGTGATAGTAGTAAACATGTGTAATTAAACGCTTGGATTTTAGAATATTCCTCGTCCGCTTTTGAGTTCAGTTTAAACACTCGAAAATTACACGGATCGAGCAACAGTTTTCGAAGAGTTTCAAATAAACGATGTTAAATTCTTGATTGAACTCTGACCCCTGTTCACTATTTTCGAGTGCTAATTACGCCAGTTCAACGATGACTATGTCATTCGAAACACAATGTATAATTAATGCCATTAATGCAAGATTAAATGCATACGAAAAAAGCGAGGCAGAAAGAGAGAGATAGAAAAAACGTTTTAAATTGAGTCTTGGGTGAAGGAGAGGAGAGGGAGGATTGTATAGTTCTATTATTCTACCAATTGATGATTTAAATACTGACCTGATATAATATAAAATCGTCGTTGGGATTTCAGTAACAAACAAAACTGGCACACATCGATTCTAATTATTATTATTGGTGCTTTGTCAGCTATTTTTCTCATTACAATCGATGAATTGTTAATCGATTGCAGTGGCGTTGCTTAATTGCGTCATGTTCTTATAAAAGTGGGTATTTCCGCTAATCAAACTAGTCGAATATTTTTTTCTCTATCGTTCGACAGAATAAACGCGAAAACTACTAGAAATTTATAATATCGACAAAATATTTATTTTTGGAAAGTTAATTGATTTTGACGATTACTTCGTCGTTGAATGGCGCACATTTTAAATCAAAAAGTAACCGTTGTTTCGTTCGTTTTGTAATTACGGCATTTATTCGTGTGCGTTGGAAACTCTTATCCCCACCAATTGCTCTTGAACCCAGTGAAGCGAGAGTAATGTCACACCATAAATTTTTAGTGTCCTTTTTCGTCTTTCGTTAACTGTCCTTTTTTATTTCCTACGTTCTTCGTTATTTTACGTAAACGTAAAATGAGAAGAAGAAGAAGAAGAATTAGAAATTCGTATCCTTAACATTTGATTTCGAATTGTTAAGTTACATCGAATAAATAATATATTGTCGAGTGTTCTAGATCGAAACAAAAATTTCGAGCAATCGTGGAATTCGTCTTTTTCAGCTGTGATAATTAGTCACGCGAAACGTTGCTATATTAACAAGTATAATCGGTTACAGGCTGCTGGCCTCGATCTGAAGGCGGAAAATCTTGGGGCTGGAGCCGCGGCAGCATGGCCTTATCCTTCCGTGTACCATCCCTATGATGCGGCCTTCGCTAGTTATCCCTTCAATGGGTGAGTTTTCAATATATTTCAATAATTCTTTTATACACGGTGTGTTTTAATTTAATTATCATAATGTAACTAACAAAGAAAATTTTCGATTTTTTTATCTCTCTACGAATATTGAAACATTCTGTGTATATATCATCTTACCATTTTCTTACTCGAAATAATAAAACGAAATAAAATAAACGAATTATTCTTCGTTCGAGAAATTTACATTTTTCTCCGAGAAAGTAATATCCGTGGCAAATTCCAAATGGCTTGTATCACTTTCGACAATTAGGGGATCATTTTTATGGACTATTTAAAAAGAAATATCGCGTATTTAAAGCAACGACGCCTTTTCGAAACGTTTCCAAAGTACCGTATAGTTCATGCAGCGATAGTCGCATTCTAAGTTATATTATGTTCTTTTCGATTTTAATCGAAAAGACACGTAATCGCCATGAAACTGTTTCCAACGAATCTGAAAATACGTAAGATACGTAATTATTTTTTAAGTCGTGTTAAAAATAATGTCGATGGTGTTTTCGAAAACTTTTCTTTTTTTTCCCCTCAAATTTTCATCACAAGTCAACATATTTGCATTTTCTTTTGCGTTATTGTCAGGAATAAAGTCGAAGAGACAAAGGTGGCATCGCTTGGAAAGTTTTTCTGCTCGTTATCTCAATAATTGCATTTCGATTCGAGGTATCGAATCTCCAACCGCTCCTGTCTTCACGCGAAACAGAGGATTCTCCCCTTTCACGTGCATTCGAACTAATATTGTATATATTTCTTTTGCTTACGATGTCGAGTCTCACGCGCTTAAGCTCCGATAACGCTCGACAGAGAAACACATAAACATTCCAATAAATTAGCGCTCCGTTGACCCGGGACTGTCGCCTTGGGCGTTTTTATTCTCGCGCTCCTCGAATCGGTCAACGCGTGTCACGATGCGACCGGTGAAAGGTCTTACCCGCAAGATAAGTGGGAATCGTATTTATCGGCGCCGGGCGAGATTACGGATATTCGGAATGGTGGAGTGCCTCGAACTCTGCCGATGATTAATCGGTCTAATCTAAGTTTCCTGAATTTTTCAATTTTTCCTTCGTCTCTTTTTTTCCTTCTTCCCCTTACAACAAGTCTCGTTATCGTGTACCGTTATCGTGGCTCTCGTCGTTGGAACGCGTGCACGGATGCTAAACCGTGCGTGAGTACTGCGAGTGATTTGTAAACTTGCTTTTTACGACTCGCTAATTAAATGTAAACAATTAGAAAAGTGGGAAACGATTGTTGACTCTGTAGCGGGATATCGACATGAGTTATATCGTAAATATGAAAATGCTTATTTCTAATTCAATTAATTAATTTATTTATATAATATGAAAGTAAAATACATTATGTGTATATATATATATATATCGGAAACAGTTCTTGTAATTTATTTTACAATCATAATGTATTATACTTTATACTTTGCTTCTGTAATACATATTATCAACTATAATTTCTCTATAAAGAAACATCATCGAGATAATGGATGGTATATCGAAAATAGCGATTAAAAATTATTTACAATTAAACGTATTTTAAAATTTCTCATCCTCGTGTTCTTACGTTATTTTAACTTTCATAATTACGAGATTGTTTCACAAGCTTAGCCAACGGAATGAGCTTAGTTTGTAAACCTCTGGCTACACTTGTTAACGCATTGTGGCAGCGGTGTTTTTTCAACAGGCGAGCGATAACGTTGCAGAAGATGAAACATCCTGCTTATATCAGTGGTCTCGATCAATCATTGCCGCGTCTCGTTATCTGGCCCGTGGAAACGCGATCCTCGGTCACGTAGGTATTATCCAACGACCCGGTGATGACGAGTCGAGACGAACGTCGTGCCGTTCTCTCTCTCTCTCTCTCTCTCTCTGTCAACGTCTCGTGGAATCTACACTGTTGCCGCGTGACGCACTTCCGGCGGAGACTGCTTCGTATGCAAGGAAGCGATCGGGTACTACAGCTTGCTTAGCATCCATTCGCTCTAGTCGGTTCGCGCACCGGGTCTTCCTTTGGAGGAGACCTACCGCCGGTCCACACCGGAACCGAGACTCCTCCGCGCGATAACAATTACCGGAAGATCCGAGGATGCACCTGTCCCTCGAGATCCCTTGTCTATGAATTACGATTTTTTTTATATCAGGTTGCAGATATAAATTTTATCGAAGATAAAAATTAACAATTTAGAGCTAAGTTAAATCGATCGTGCTATGGATTTTTTTTTTATCTTTTAATGTTACTTTGAAAATATAAAATGTAAAATTGGTAAAATCGAATCTCGATATATTGAAAGAGAAATTTAAATAGTACCGTCTTATATTTTCTATCTTACTTCTTTTATCGATCGAAAGAAGGGAAATCAAATGACTTAAGGAAATAAAATTCTACTAATAGAGATGTAACAAATTCGAGTTGTACATAGATGAAATAATGTGGACACGTGAAAAATAATTCGAATCGAAGTAAATTTTATTTCGATTTAATTATTTTTAAGAAATTAAAAGTTAGGTTTTACAAATTATTGTAACATCCTCTCTTCAAAATTTTACTTTCACATTATCGAAAAATTAAAAATTATCGATAGAAGAATAAGGAAGTAATCGGTTCATATAATAAACTTCGTTCAACGTCGAAACGACACGTTCACGAAATATGCATACGTGTTTAAATTTCTTTTTGGATTGATTGTTACGATCGATTCGTCTCAATTTCTCGCGCGCGTAATTCCATTTGACGAGATAAGCAGGTATTAACACGAAACCACCTTCGACGTTTCTTCGTTCGGTTTTTCACCGGACATTTGCCCCACAAGAATTAATACGTTGATTAATGCAAACAACGTATCGATACGTGAAGATAGCCGCGCCGTTACCTGACTAATCAAATTCAAATTTAACGCGATATTATTGAAATCAATTTTCCTCGACGACATATTTGCAACGTCATCGAAACATTCACGAATAATTCAACGTATTAAACGGCGCTAATTTCCCACCTTCGATTTCGTTTCCGCGCGAGCGGAACAAATAATTGCCAATCTTCCCCCCCTCCTCCTTTTTTTCGCATCGTGACTGATATTTTAAAATGTCGAGGTAAAATTTTATTTATTATTCCGCCTGTTTGTTTGCTTTTAACAAATTAAGTGCGAAATTCGATCAAATTGTTTTATTATATTACGTTTTCTCGTACGTGTCCATTATAATGCAATACGACTCGAAGTTGAAGAGGCAAGCTCGATTTACAAATAATACACAAATTAATTTTCTACACTTTTATACGTGGATATATATTGTATCGTATACGAGTTGTTTCTGGATAAATTCTAAAAAATTTAATCTTTTGCTATTTAAAACAAGAAGGAAATTATACAAAGTTCATCTAATGTAATACTTGTTATACGAATCAAATGATCGATCAATTTTTACTTTGTTTGCATTTATATAATGTTTTTCAATCCTTTCGTGAAATGGACGAAATTCTTTTCTCGTATCCATTTTGTAAGTGGATTAGAAAAAGATACTATACTATACTATTGTTGAAAAGAAAAATCTGTATTTATATTTGTATTTGCATGCACGAGATTTATTTCTACGTCTGTCTTCGATACGAAACTTTTCAACTTTTGGCAGTGCGTGCCAGCCACGTTTGAAGATACTTTACCTATTTATACCCTCCCCTCTGTGTGCGTGCAACCCTCGACGAAGAAGTCCTCCAACTCGTTAATGTAACCGAGTAGCAGATGAGGCCAATTAAAATTAAAATTCAAACGCATCTGTCATAAATTCATAACGTCGACTAATATCCGTGGTAATTAAGCTTTTTCTTGCTGTGGAAAATGAAATCTCTTACGAGCCTCTTTTCTATGAGTGGCTGCTCACAAATAATAATCAATCTTTATTCATTTGAATTGACGATATGAATTCGATAATTTGTTTAAATTAATTATTTAAAAATCGTTTCTTATTTGAGAGATGCCATTTTTGGATGCCATTTTTTTTTAGATACATTCACAATATGTTACTATGTTAAATTTCAACAATTATCCATAACAAAGCAAAATACGATATCCATTTATAGAATTATATTAAAATCTTTTCAAAACGATTACGAAAGTTTTTCATTCAATAAATAACATAGAATTGAAAATATACCAATATATATATGAATACAAGAACGAAACGTGTTATAAAACAGACACATCTTAAAAAAAGTCGAAAGAAATAAGAGCTACCTGTCTAGTAGAGATAAGTGAAACAACAAATTCAAGCAGCAAGCTAAGCAAGAAAAGAAGAAGAAAATGAAAATCGACGAAGGTGGCAATAGTATAGTATATATATATATGTATATATATATATATATATATGTCGTAGGCCATTACCATAGCCTGCGTGTGCACCATCGGCCGCTTTAACATAAGCGGCATAAGCATACAAAAAGCCAATAATGCAGAGTTGGAATGCACGGCCGCGAGGTCTCGGGATCGTGCGGGTTAACGGTCCCGTCTTTCCGGCGGATTGGCCCTGCTTCCGGGGACATATAGGGTAAACAATAAGAAACACAACTGGGCAGCCACTGGTTGTACGAACACGGCTGGTTGTACGGCTCCACGCTCCTATGTCCGGCTTCGGCCCTCTCCTCGCCCCCCCCACTCTCGATCAAACACACGTATTATTAAGTGTGTCCGTACAACGACCGATGTGTCGGCACGCGCTTCACGGACCTTCGAGCGCGTTTAAGGACGTCGCGACGATCCGCGAATCTTAATGATCGTTCGACTCTTGGGTAAGGGGAGGGGAGGGGAGAGGGAGGCTCGCGCTCGTTAAGATTATCGTCGAAACGGGATTGTTATGAGGAAGGAAAGAAAAGGATGATGAGATCTGGAACTTGCGTTTTTATAAAAGGTTTTTCGTAACTTTCCAAGGGATCGAAGGTGTGTTGTGTTCGTGTTCGTGTTCGTGGAAATGGATCGTTGGATT